ATTATACACAATGGTGTGAAAAAATCATGTTGTGAAATTTAAGAAATTTGTTTGGTGTTCCTAAAGCTTCGAGTGGGAACTGATCGTGCTTCTTGGTGCCTATTTTCCCCTAATTTTTCAATCTCTCATTGAATTCTGTGGCAGTTTCTGTATAAATGGCTTCTGCTGTACTGACAGGAGCCCAATCTCTTTGTCTTCTCTGAGCACAGCGTCTGATGCAGATGTGCTCACTGTCTGCTGAAGTCTGCCTACGCTGTTTAGGTTGATATGTGTTGTTTCTTACTTGCCAGGTAGCATGTTGACTCATGGATTGTATTTTCTACTTAGTGTAAATCTTCCTGATCCCCACCACTCAGTGTTCTACATGTAGCAGGTATTAAACAAGCAGACCTGGAGATGATAAGAACAGGACTGAGCTCCATGAGCCAGTCTCTCAGTGAAATCATGGGAACTCACCTGAAGCAGCTGCTCTTTGTGACTCAGACTATGATTTAGATGTTGAATGTTCTGTTCCTGGGTTCGAATCTCATTGTATTTTTCAGTCTCCAGGGTATGAAGCTGTTGGCTCTTACTCTGTAATTCCCCTTGGAGCTGTTGTAAAGTTCTTCGTAATTCCTGAAATAAGTATATTCCTTTTTAAAATTAGCCTAAAAATTCATGGTCATTAGATACAAAGGCCTTAAAGCTTTCAATGCAAGCTGGGCATGATGGTGCCTGCCTATGATTGATTCTAGCTACTAGGGAGCCGGAGGCAGAAGGTTCTCAAGTTCAAGATCAGCTTAGATAACAAAGTGTGATCTTATTCCCAAAACAAAAACTTTCACGGCATATAATGAAGTAGCAGCAAGTTATTAATCAAATTAACATAGAAAACGTATAAAGAATATGAATCAAACGGTATGAAAAACTGAAAATTTGGACAGAGTAGGATGTAACCTTGATAGTCTAGTTCAATGCTTACTTTTTGGCTGAAAAGAATAGCTCTATGTAACAGATTTTGCCCACTGTAAGCCTGCATCCCTTACAGCAAGCTCAGCATTTCTACTATCCTCTTTTCTAAAGAACTCACAAAAGCTATTGGTTACATTCCTTAATTCTCCATTATAAGCCCAATCCTACCATAACATCTGAAATTTTAAGATTTCTAAAGGAAATTCAGAGCTCATATTTAACTTTCAAACTACTAAAAGCAGGGAGATTCTTCAAAATCTCTTCTTTCACTTTGAATGTTAAAAAGTCTAAGAAAAGACAGCACAAAAGATCTTTCTTTGTTTTTTGGGGACAGGGTTTCGCTTTGTAGCCCTGGCTGCCTTGGAACTTGCTATGTAGACCAGGCTGGCCTTGAACTCAGGGAGACCTGCCTGCCTTTGCCTCTCAAGTGCTAGTATTAAAGGTATAAGCCACCATATCTGGTACAAAAAACATCTTTAAAATGAAAAACAAACAAACAAAAACACCCCAAAAAGACAGCCTGTGTTCTATGCTAACAGAACAACCATTTAAGAATTATATAATATAAAAAAGAATTATATAATACATACATATATTTAAATTACATGGCTGATTATGCATATAGATGTCCTTCCCTGCTTTTCTGTCCACCTGATTTTTTTACAATTTTTATTTTATTTACTTTGTGTGTGTGTGTGTGTGTGTGTGTGTGTATCAAAAGACAACTTTCGAGAGTTGGTTCTCTCCTTCCACCATGGGTTCTGGGGTTCAAACTCAGGTCGTTCATTCAAACTCATTTCATTCAAAGTATGAGGCAAGCATTTTTATGCGCTGAGCCATCTCATTGGCCTCCAGCTGACTCTTATCCTTCCTTTTAGAATAACCTCAGACAGCTCCTCCTTGGTAAAGCTTTGCCTGGCTTCTTCCCTCAGCCCCTCCCAGGCATTCCTATAGGAGCCCATACATGTGTCTTTAGCAGTGTTTACCCTATTGAAATTCTGTTCCTGTGACTGCCTCTCATGCTAAACTCTATGTAATTTAGTTGGAAAGTGTCTATGATACTCACCTGTGTATTTCTAGGCCATAGTCTGCTATTTGGTGCATGGCCCAATGCCTCAAATACTGAAAACCAAATCAGACTGAGCAAATAACTGGAGGGTTCAGGTTCAGCACAAACTGTTCTGCTAAAAAGTCACTGTAGGGCAAAGTCAGCATTTAGGGCAATAAAGTGGTTAATGATTTACCTGGTTATGCTTCCAAGCTGCCTCCTTCTGCTGCTCTCTCTCCTGTGCTGCAGTCTCTACAAACTGCACATGTCGCTTGGCATCACCCAGTTGGCGTTCTTTCTGTCGTACCAGCCTCTGGAGCTTCTGGATTTCAAGCTGGCTGCAGAATAAAGCACTCTGAAGATCAAGCAGGGCCACCTGCTGCTGAGCGGGGGCAAGGCCCTCCAAGCTCTGTAAAGAGCAGAAGCCATAATCACAGGAGGAAGGCACTGAACACCCAGGGATGGGGTGGGGTACTGTGTAGCCAAAAGCAAGCCCATGATGGCACCCACGGGACTCCACCCTCTCTGTGACCCTCACGCACATGAAGCTGTCCAAGCTGGCTTTGGTGCAGCATTTCTCGAAGCTTTGCCATGGTGTCATTTTGACCGTCAATCACTTGGTATAGCTCCTCAGTCTGAAAACAAGAGAGGGCGAGTGCCAGTGTGAGTAAACTAACTGTAAATTCCCTATCTCTCCTGTACAGGTTTTAGGAACAGAACCATTCCAAAATACCTATTGTGACCATTTTCTAGGGTAAGGTTTGTTCATGTGATAGTAGTTATTTCTACAAAATACAGACTACCTATCTGCTTAATAAGATAAATTATTTCCTCATGGGTCTTTGATTACATAACACTTTACCTCACTTTCCCTGCTTTTCAAGGTCTCCTTCAGGCTCTGCATTGCTGCATCTTGCTTCTGAGATGACTCCTGAGCAGATTTTAGTTCACAGCTCATTTCACTCAGTTTTTCTTGAAGAATCTGAATTCAGCAAAGAAACCTTGTTAGCTCAGCAATAACTTTTCATGTCTACAGCAATCATTACGTCCCTTTTCACATCTAGGGTTTAAAGATGACCCTGCAGTGTCTTTCCCATGCATAGTAACCACTGAAGTCTGACTCAGTGAAAGAGAAGAACTGGAAATAGGAAATACTTCCTTCAATAAGATGCCTTACTATTCATGTGTCCCTTCCACAAGGAGCTTCAGCTATCTAGAATAGGGCAGGATGCTTTAAGGGCACACCAAGCCAGATGCTCAGCAGCCCAAATTGTGGCAATTTTCCTGTAAGCGCCCATTAAAATCCGTGAGCTATAAAGGGGTGAACAAGTTAAGCTAAAATCAAAAACACAAGTTTCCTGTCTCAGAGCCTTACTGTACAAAGACTGGATGGAAGTTTTAGTCTCACTCCTTTAGGCATCAGAAACTGTAGTATGTATAGAACAGATTAAAGTCTTGATAAGAAACAAAAAGAAGGGGCTGGGGGCATAGCTCAGTCAGTAAAGTACATGCTATGCAAGTTATGAGGAGAACTTGAGTTCCATTCTGAGACCTGGACATAAAAAGTCAGATGTATGCTTGTGATCCCAGAGCTGGGAAGATGGAGACAGGTGGATCCCTGGGGCACCCAGCCCAGCCTGATTTGTGAACCCCAGGTTCCAGTGAGACTTTGTCTTAAAAAAAACCCAAGATGGATGGCTCCTAAGGAACGACATTCAGATTGACCTCTAGCCTACATACATACACACACACATGCATACACAAAAGGATAGAAATGAGTATTTCTTAGAGAAGCACGAGTCTATTCAGTGTCCAGGTCCTGTGCAGATTGATGCAATCTGGCTAGAGCCAGTCACTTCTTCAACAACCCTGTGAGCCAGGGCACAGTATTAAGCATACCTTGTTGGTGGCCTCTGTTTGCTGGATTTTTTCCTGGAGTTCTGCCAAGTGAGAATCAGATACAGACTGCTGAGTTATAGTGGCCTCCTTCGAATTCAGTTTTTGTTGTTTGAGTAACTCTTCAGGCATTGGCTAGGAAGAAACAGCAAGACAACTTGAGTAAATGCAGTAAATAATCTATTTTATTTTTATGATGAATCTCTGGTATCTTTTTTCAGATATTTGGAAAATGACCGTTGCTACACAAATTATCAGTATAACTTCCTGAAGATAGTCCTAAGAGCACTACTTGGTCTCCCTTACTATGTTCCCTAAACTCCTCCTGTCCTCACTGTTCCCACCCACTCACAAATCCTACCTATTTAGGTAAAGTAAGAAACTCAGGGTTTAAAGAGGGGAAACTTAAGAAAGGGTATGCTTACAATAAAAAAAATTGCTTAACTCTGTTTAATCAGGAACTTTTGAAAAGCATGAGGGTCAAAGTTATAATCCAATTACCTATTTTACAATAAGTCTGTTCACGTTACTGGAAAAACTGGCATTATGTTATCTATTAGATAATATCATGTTATCATCCCTAAATTTCCTGAATTTAACTGTACTGCAGTTGGTAAGCAAACTTCTTGTTCTTAAGAAATACACGAGAGTGGGGCTGGAAAGATGGCTCAGCGGTTAAGAATACTGGCTGTTCTTGCAGAAGACCCAGGTTCGAATCCCAGCACCCATATGGCAGCTAACAACTGCCTGTAGCTCCAGTTCCAGGGGATCCGATAGCCTCTTCTGACCTCTGCGGGCATTGCATGACATGAGTGCACTTACCTACATGCAGGCAATACACACATACACATAAAAAAGAAATACACATGAAGCCGGGCGTGGTGGCCCACGCCTTTAATCCCAGCACTTGGGAGGCAGAGGCAGGTGGATCTCTGTGAGTTCCAGGCCAGCCTGGTCTACAAAGTGAGTTCCAGTCTAGCTGGGGCTACAGGGAGACCCTATGTCAAAAACACCTCCCCCCCCACACACAGAAATACACATGAAAATATTGAGTAAAGTGTATATCTGCAATTATAATTCTTGCTTATTCAGAAATTTAAAACAAAAACAAAAACAAAAAAACACTATGCCCATACACAGAGTAGGAGCAAAACAAAAATGTGGCAAGATACTAGTACCTGGTAAACCTGGGTGAGGGGGACTGGGGAGGTTTTGTACTTTTTATTGTCTCCATAAATTGGAATTACTTCAAAATGAAAGGGGAAAAATTAAAAACATCTGTAGGATTTCGGGAAGGAGATAAAGTTTATAAGAATATTAAATCATTACAGAGAGTCAGGAGAAAAAGAAAGCATTTATATATGGGACAATTGATTAGCGGAAGGTGAACTATATTGAACCAGACCTGACAGTCATTATGAGCTAAGATGTTAAAACGGAAGGAATTCACAGTGGCATTAAATTCCACCTCTCCCCACCTCATAGCCCTGTCTCTTCACTTAGGAACACAGATCCACTAGGAAGAACAAACGAGGAGCTGCTATTCATTTTTTTTTTCTTTTCCTCACACTTTCAAGCTTTCCTACAGTCTGGGCAGTAGAATTACAGCTGACTTTAAATCCCTTCCTGCAAGCAACTGACTAGAAGATGACAGGTTCTTCTGTTTCCTTAGTGCTGTTTACCCACGGTTCTAACACTGAGTCAGTGCTATAAAATGCACAACACTGTGTGAGGCAGTGTGGGGAGTACAGTGTGGACCAGTCCTGGCTCCAGTGTTGGTCTGAGGAAGTCATGTCAGAAGACTCCATTTCAACAGGCCATACTGAAAAGCCTCTGGCAAGCTCTTTGCAGGTGGCTGTACTGGTTATCCTGGGCAGAAGGCCGAGAGGAAAGGATACAAAATACTGACTTTGTTACCTTTATAAGTAGAATTACCATAAAACTGACCACTCACATCAAATTGACTTTTTTTTTTTTTTTTTTTTGAGATGGGGTGTCAGGCCAGGCTGGCCTCTCAAGGCTCTAAGATTGCAGGCCTGTGCCACTAGACCCAGCTTCAAACCACTGCTAAGACTTGAAAGGGTGCAATTAATAATTCTATCAGGACACTAAATACAAACCAAGAATGCTTTGTTACCTTATTTCTAAGACCACAGCTATCTCTGAACAGCTAGTAAAGTCCATTTTCTCCCCGACCATACTATTTGAGAACACCAAATCTCAAAATTCTAAAAAGTGAGACTATCAAAGAGGGACTAAGAAACATTCTCAGTTATCAACAAATGGCAGGAAATACCAATATTCGTAAGTGTGGCTGATGGAGCGTTTCATAAAAGCCATCTGAACTTCACTGCTTATTTTGACAGAGTGGGAGTGAAAAGGCTCCGTTGGCCTTGGTTATGCTTCTTTCCTATCAGTTTTCAGTACTGCACCATAACTTCACCTTCTCGGCACAAGGCACTGTATAGGAGGACACTTGCTACTCTTTTGAAGCATACTTCACAGCACTTAGAGTAGCTACACAATAGACATGGAAATACAGAAATAACAGATAATGATAAACCTGTGCAGTAACACAGTTAAGTGCTACCAAGAATCAGTCATTGTTGCTTTGCATTAACTAGAGGGAGGTTTTCTTATGAGGCAGCATTTAAACAGTGATCTGAAGGGAACCTAGTCAGTTACTCAGAAGCCAACAGAAGATCAAGTCAGGCCAGGTAGAGGGAAGAGCTAATGGGGAGAAGACCATGTGGCTAGAGGGGACCTGCTCAACAGAGACACAATGTGAGCCATACTTGTATTTTTTAACTTCCTGAATAAAGTAAAAAAAAAAAAAAAAAAGTAAATTTAATTGTGATTATTTAAGCAAATCTGAAATAGTACCACAAATGTGATCAATATAAAGATTACAAAGATACTATGATTTTTCAAGTCTTTGAAATTTGAGGTGTATTTTATACTGTGCATATTTCAATTTCAACTAGCCATATTTCAATTGTTCAAGAGAGACACGGGCTGGTGGCTAGCCTTACTAGCACAATGGGCGAAGGGCATGAACAGGATGGGGTGTGAAGGCAGGCAAGTCCTACATGGTTCCTGCATGGCAGATAATTGAGTTGGATTTTATCTGAACTGGAATGAGAATTGACTGCCGTGGTTGTTTTGGTTTGGTTTGGTTCTGGCAGTACTGAGGATCAAACCCAAGGCCTTGTCCATCCTAGATACGCATTCTACTATTGAGCTATGTCCTCAGCCCTGACTACAGTGCTATTTAACAGAAAAGTAATGGAATTTATGCTTTCAAAAGCTCAGTGCAGCTGTTTGGCAATGGACTGTTAGGGAATTGTGGCAGCAGCAGAGATCAGCTAGGAGAACACAGGTGAAAGATGACTGCAGCAACAGAACAGATGCATCCATCAGTGGGTCTGACATGCTTCTGAAAGTACAGTTAACCTGCTGGTGCTCTGGACAGTGGAGGTGGGACAGGAAAAAGAATAAGGACGCCTAGAAATATTATATATTTGTTGTTTTGAGTCCAAGCCTTTCCCTGAAGCAATCACATGTGATTATGTCACAGATGTACCAAAAGAGGTTACTAAAACAGATATTCACAATTCTAACTGATACATTGACATTTAATCGTAAAGCGGTCTCTATAAAACTTAAGTCTTCTCCTTCCTCCACATAAACAACTTTCCTATACTATCTACTATCATTTTGAAATTGAAACTCTGACAAGCAGACTTAACTTCAGGGCTGGAGATGCAGCTCAGTGGTAGAGCCTGTTTGTCAAGCATGTACAAGATCTTGGTTCAGTCTCTAGCACTGGTGGGAGAGAGGGGGTAGCTTCACTATTAAAATGACAGGGAAGTCATATTTATTCACTTTAAATCAGAGAATCACAGAGCTGGGAAGAAAGCAATAAACTAATCAGCTGATCCAATTCTGCTTTATATACAAGGAAATGGAAAGTTACAAAAGGTAGGTAAATTATTCAAGTAAATTATTCACAAAGAAAATCAAGTAAAGTGTCCAATGAAAATAAATACACTGCAATTGGTAATGTCTCTTTTATTTCTATAAACCTACTGCTTACCTTAATGCCAGGAACATTTTAAGGATCCAAAGTTTTTGCTTAATGAGTAAGACCAATAAAAACAAAAACAATAAAAGCGGCCTGTCTCCTACTTTTCCATCCAATGTTCTAATCCTTCAGCAGCTCTCTCAGAAACAAGATCATATATATGTGTATATATGTGTGTGTGTATATGTGTATATATACATTTATATTTACATTTACATATATGTGGTTTATATAGACATAAACACACACATAAATGAGAAGCAACTTCAAAGCTAAAGAATGCCATGGGAAAGGACATAATGAATCTGCACCTCATGTAAACCATCTTGGCATGACAGTCATAGGAGACTTCCTATTCTATAAATGACATATTTAAAAGATGGAAGATGTTTGTTTCTGTTTTATTCCTAACAGTTTATTGTTCTACATCTGAGAAAAATGTTTTTTCAGAGAAGTCTGCCAAAAGAGCACTTAGTAAGTTCCACTGAGTCAAGAACTCATAATAAATTCTTGTGATGTACCAAGCACATAAACTTTGAGTGCTGAGATTTTCCAGAGCCTCAAATCAGTAAGCCTGAGTTTAGTATCATTAGTGTCATTCCCGAGGCATTCAGCTTCTAAGACTATGTCCTAATGATAATGTAATTTTAAATTAACTTGCTTTCCATTCACATGCATGCCTTCTCATATCAGAAAAAGAGAAATGCTTCTAAGCCAAATGTTACATAAGTCTGTAGGTTGTGAGGCTGTTATTTAAATCTTCTGGGGTAACAGCATTTTTCTTGGCATTTTCTGATCTTTACAATAGTGACTCCTATATCACAAACTACCATTATTTTCTATCCTACTGTTAAGTCATACCAGACAGACAAGAACCATTGACTAGCATAAAGTTAAAGACTGAATCTTTGTCCAGTATCTAAGGCTTACACTTTCCAAAGGACCTGATCTACCCAAATAGCTATGAGTGGGACAAACTTCTCATACCCAAAGAGCAGACCTTGACTTTTTTTTTTTTTTTTCTTTCTAAGACCTTGACATTTTCAGATCTGAAGCAAAGAAGGGCTCTTTGGATTTAGAAAAGAAACTGTCAGTGAGCCAGAGCTCTGTGAACTGCTGTTTACTAAGGGACCACGCCCCTCTCCTATCATGGCTTTTCTACTGCAGGGCCAGACAATAGTACCCACCCAGATATTACTATCTGGAACAAGATTTCAAAACTTTCTGTAGATATCTGAACAGCCCGGATCTTTAGGCATAAAGTTCTTAGAAGGCAAATAAATTATTTGCATAGTATCAAAAATCCAGTAAGCAGGAGAAATATATACTGTTTATCTTAACATAAGAGAGGAGGGAGGGAAGGGGCAGAGCCATCAGGAAGAATATATTAACACTGATACTAAGCAGCACACGGTGGGTTAAGTAAAGGATTAAACAAAAGAATGTGAACCACACAGAACAGTCGCATGGGTTTTCTTCCTTTTGTGGTAGAACTTAGCTGAAGGAAAATGTTTGCTTCCATGGTTCTCCTTTCTACAAATTAAAAAGAAAACTGCCAAAAAAAGAGACTTTTATTGTTTCCATGTTTGTTCAGAGAAACAGACAAAAACCAGTCTGCCTTTGTCCCACCTGGCTCTGGTTTTGCCCTAAAGCCCAAAAGCCCTTAAGGAGATTAAAAGTCAATCAGACTTGAACAATTGATCAAGGGTCCAGAATAAAATACATATTTTATTTACACAGGCCCTGAGCTCAAGGTAACTATTGCCCCCAACATCTGTAATTATTAGAGAATACAGCACAGTAACCACTCGTCTTTGAAGCTGGAATGTTACTTTCTCTCCCCACCTCATGTTTACTAACAGCAGGAAGGGCCAGACCCCATTTTGAAGCTCTAGTATCCAAAGTGACTGCACTCTAGGGATTTGACCTAAGGACAGAGGTCCTGACAATCCTCCAGGAATCTTTGGGATAAAATAAATTAAGCTGATGTTCTTCTGGCAGTGAGATTTAATGTACAGAATTAAAAGGTCTTGGCTGAAAATGGTGAGGACTCTTTCTTTGGTTCTGTCGAGGCTCTCGTTTAAACGTAAAATTCCCAACTTTCCTGAGAGATGACGAGATGTTTAAAAATCCTTCCCGACTCCAAAATTTGCTGAATCCAGGCATCAAATGATGTTTTTCAATTAAATAGTAAAGATACAAATCTTGTTTTCCCTGGAATTTTCTAGGTCTTTTTCTATAGCATTGGTCATATTTGAGTGACGAAAGCAACTTATTTCCCATCTAGCCAATTTTAGATCCTAATATGAGAATAACCATGTTTAATATGTAGCATCTATGTCTGGTCACAGAAATATGGTTCAGCCTAAATTTGCAATGAGTATCCAGGGAAGAAAGAAAAAGAATAGTAAGTACACAAGTGTTGGGCAGATAATGTTTAAAGGTTCACACAAATGAAAACACTGGTTTCTTTTTAACTTCTTCCTAACACTTTCATTTGTGTTGTTTCTGATAATTTTGTGTAAATTTAAAAACATTTCTTCTGCCTTCTGTTGAAGTTCTTAGGGTGATACACATTTTATATACAATATAACTATTCCTCAAAAATCATTTTATTGGACTCTCAACTTCATTTGTTATCAAGCTCTGTCTGAAATTGTGTTGACTGGTAAGTGGGTTTCCCAAAAAGTACCTTCTCCATTGCCCATCTTTGCAATAGCCACAGAATTTGTATCAAATGAATGTGCTAGAATGTTTAGCAAAGTTAACTGAAGCTAGCATTTTCTGTTGCTATAGAAACAAAGTAGCATCTATCAAGTCTGTATATATTCAAATTTAAAAGGGTGGTGTGAAATCAGTTGGGCAGACATGAATAGCTCAAATTAAATTCAACTGCCATTCTCCAGTCATTAAGAAAGTATAATGCGTGAATCCTTTCTTAACATAGCATATAGTCTAGTGTGACTCAGTAGAAAAGCTGTTTTCACCTTGACATTCTGAGTGACAACATCTGAATTCCCATGGACCTTCCGGGAACAAGTCATTATTAATCCTCAAATGACCCATTAACTGTAATAAACATTACCCAGATGTTTGAATACTTTTCTGGTTCTCCCCAAACCTTTACCCTACACTCTGTTTCCAGGCATTTGGAGGATGAAAATCTTAATGGGCCAGGGGAAACTAGCTAAAGCCTGACTCATAGAAAGCCAGTGCGAGAAAACATGCATACATCTAAAAACAAAGCAAAAATCAAGGAGGGGAAAAAAGGGAGGAAAGGAAAACTTCAAGTGTTGAAGGTGAGATTAAATGTCTTTGGGAAAGGAAGCTACCTTTTGGTTCTTAAAAGATGTGCAAGTGTTACAACAGGAGACCAACATACGGTAATGTTGCAAAGACTATGAGAATCAATAATCTGAATGTATATCACGTTTACTAAACGGACATAAGCAAAAGGTGTGGCCCACATGAGCTCAACGATTAATTTTCTCAAGCCTAGAATATTTTCTAAGCCCCCAAAATTCTTAACCTCCAGCTAAATAAATCACGGGCCGCCTGAGGCCAGTTAGCTAAGGAGAAAGGCACTTGGGTGGTCATTTTGTATACCTGCACCCGGAGTGGCAAATATTCTTCACAGAGATCATCCCACAGCTCCTGGAGGTCTGAAATCTCCAAGGGGTAACTCACAGGTGTCCTGTAAAGGGGTTTCAAAGGCCTGTTAAGGAAACCGGAACTAACTCCATCTGTCATGATCTGGCCAGGCTTGGCTCCAGGTGGGCTGGATTTCACTGGAATGGGAAGCTTGCTCCCTCGGGGACTCTGAATGGGCTTATAATCAAGACCTTTAATCATGCTAAGAGCTAGCTCCAGCTTGTGGTGACACAAATGCTGTGGAGCCTGTTCATCGGAACAAAAGTCACACTTGACAAGCTCTTTTGCAGTTCTCTCGGTTTCCTCATCTTTCTGTTGTGGAGGGCTAGCCTGGACACTGGCATCCAAAGATTCCACGGAGGAGCCCGGTGTTCCTTCCTCCATGCTCTCTCCATCTGGAGGGACTTTTGTGCTTGGTAAATCGGGCGGTCCAACCTCTGACATCGCCGGTTCTTCGGTGCAAATGCTAGTAGACCACCTGCTAGAGGGGCCGTAGGAAATACTCCTGGCCACTTTTCTAGGCATTTTACAAATGGCTTCATAGTCAGCATCCGCCACCCGCAGAGCTGCACAACCACGGCATCTCCTGGGTCGGTTTCCCAGGCCTTCCGCAGCATGACAATTGTGTGACTCCTGGATCTGATCCTCATTTTCTACCCAGCACTCAAACCCCGAATAGGCAAAGTCTTCCTGCAGCAGGGCAGAGTATCTCACATCGGGCAGGCCGGAAATGTCAACCGTCCCACTCCCTGGCTTGATCTCGGCGGCGGAGTCCTCGTTATTTTTCCGATACATGCTGGCAATGCAGAATTTAAGGCGATCTTTTTCCAGCAGCAGCTTCTGCAATCGCTCAATAGAAAGGGCTTCGATCCGGGCAATAACGGTGTCGAATCGATAGATGCGATCGAGCATGAAAGCACACTTGCTGCACGCAAACTCAGCTTTGCCATCGCGAGCGACATCTTTGCCCAGGGCATGCGAAAGCAGAACCTGAAGGTTGAGCTTGGACGCGGTGTGGAAGATCCAGCGCCGCTGGTTTCCACACAGCTCCCGGGCACAGATCCTGCAAATCTCTTTCATCTTCGCTGCTAGCGGGTGCCGAGCTTCCTCGAGGCGGCTGCAGCTGCTGGACTGCTCACCCACTCTGGGCTGTGCTCCTCCTCCCGCCTCGGTGGTCTGGGGCTGGCATGGCCCGGGCCCGGGGTCCTCACTCCGCCCGAGCGCACCTCCGCTCTGCGCGCCGGCTCTGGGTACCACAGTGGCCAGCCCCGCCCCTCGGGCAGGAGGCGGGCACGGAAACGCCTCAGGGGGATGCTGAGTGACAGTCGCGCGGGCTGCGCTAGGATGCTGCCCAGCCTCCTACAGCTGCCTCTCCCGCCAGCCGCCGCGTCCTCAGCGTTCTCGGCGTCCTCCCGGGCCGGCAGGCTGGGCTCTTGGGACGCCGGCCACAGTTCAGGGCTGACGCAAAGCCGGTAGGCGAAGCATCAGATTTCAAGATGGCGGCGCGCGCCCGCGGCCCCCGCGAGGCTCTTCTGGGAAATGTAGTCCGACTGGCCGTTCCTGACTCTGCGCATGCGGCCTGGCGAGTGTGTCCCGGGCCCTAAACTGGGTCTCAGCTGCTGTTAGTGGGAGGCGCCGGGAGTGCGGAGTGGAGAGCCAGATGCTCAGCGGCCGATGTCAGGCTGCTTTCATCTAATAAGATCTCATCAACTAGGCTCCCTTGATCTCCCCAAGATTCTCCCGCCTCTGCAGGATGTCACCAGGCTGCTCACGGGGAGGAGAAAGCCCAGTCCCCTCCCCCTCTGTCACGGGCAGTGCCACGTACACTGGATGTGGCCTGGACACGCCACTAGGTACCGCTGCGCGCCGCCTCCTCCCGCCGCAGCCCCACCTCTTCTCAGTACTACTGTGGTGCCCGGGTCAGAAGGCCCGAGGCTGCAGAGGCGCGTCGGGAGAGCCTGATAACCAAAGGTGGCAGGTAGAGCGGGTGTGGGGAGGGCAAGCTAAGGATGAACTTTCCTTTCACTGTTGGGAATATCTAGGAAAGAGACACGTGTTTTCCCATTCGTGTTGGGGGATAGGGTTTAGCACCCTTAGGTGATCTGCCCTTTATGGGGTGGAGAGTGAGGAAACGAAAGGGCACAATGCAAGCAGCTGAGACAGAGTCCGGCAAACACCGCATGAATGCATCTGTTAATCTAGATTTTGAAGATAACGAGAAAAAGCTTTGTCACGCCTATAGCCACGTGAGAAGAAATTACATTCTTCTTTCAGGCTGTGGTAGACTACAGCGCTTTTGGAGATGGAGAGGGTAGTCAGGCAGGAGCTTCTCTGAGCCAGAGTCCAGGGTGGTCTCATGCTGTCTTCAGAATTAGGGCTGCGATTTCACTGATTTAGTACACTACGGTTCGGTTCAGTTGTTAAATCCCCCGTCCTTGGGTACAGAACTTCGCACACAAAAAGGAAGGAAGCTGGAGCTCCCAATGGGTGCAATGCAGGTATCACTGTTTCTAATAAATTCTCAGCCTGGCTTTAGAGGCATGCAGATACCAGAGGAGGAACAATGACCTCAAGCAATCACTTGAAATTCCCCCAGAGCAGGACATCCTCCCCTTAAAATAATGTTAAAGTTCAATAGTTTGACCTTGCCATACAAGGTCAAACAATCTTAGATACTTCTGAACTTTATCTCCAGGTTAAAGAGCTCCTAAGCCTCGGGGCTCCAAATGCTATCATTGAGAGCTCATAATAAGCTAAAAATTTACGGAGTGTTAAATGCGATGATTTGAGGAAGATTCTTCAACAATGTTTTTTAGTCCACTGAAAAATTGTTAACGTTCTTTTGTGTGTGTGTACATGTTCATGTGTGCACATGTGTGAGTGCATGAATGTATGCATATACAGAGATATGATTTTTATTAAGATTTTTTAAAAATTACATGTATGTGGAGGGGTGTGAACATATGTGCAGGTACCCTCAGGCCAGAGACATCAGATCCCCTGAAGCTGGTGTTACAGATGGTTGTTAGCTGAGGACCAGATGTAGGTGCTGGGAACATAGCTCTGCAAGAGCAATACTTGCTTTTAGCCTAGAGCCATCTCTCCAGCTCCCTCCATCTTATTTTTCAAAACTGGTGTCTCATACAACTTAGAGCTTACCAATTGGCTTCTCTGGCTGACCAGTAAGCTCCAGGAATCCTCCTGTCTCTGCTTCCCAGGCACTGGCATTACATGCTGGTGCCTCCCTGCTTGACTTTTACATGAGTGGCTGCCGGGCATCAGAACTCAGGTCCTCATGCTTGCGTGACAAACACTTTACAAAAGACCCATCTTCCCAGCCCCTAATATCTTTCTTATTTTAATATTGTAATAATGGGAATATTTTATTATTTTTATTTTCCAGGTATGAGGGTTTTGCCTGCATATAAGTGCACGTTAATGTTCATGCAATGCCCACAGAGGCCAGAAGAAGGTGTAGGATCCTCTGGAACTGGAGTTAGGGACTGCTGTTAGCTACCTTGTGGGTGCTAGGGACTGAACCTGGGTCATCTGCAAGAGCAACCAGTGATCTTAACCATTGGGCCATCTTTCCAGCCCATGACAATATTTTAAAGCAGTTTAAAAACATTATAGGGCCCTGTACACACGATTATAACTGTTCTAAGCACCAAAACAAAATCTTGTAGCTTTGTGGTCAACAGAACTTTGCATATGTGATTTCATCTCAAAGATACATATTCTGATCCTAAAATCAAGAATGTAAACTAGAATCCAAGGAAAAACATCTGCATATTTGTATCCTCTAGGTATGTGAGCTTAAAAGTCATAAGAAATTGAGCAATAATCTTTGAAATCTACAGTAATCTACAGAAAGACAAAGAGTTTATGGACCCACCCTGATTGAGGGCAGCAGAGTCCTTGCCAGGACACTCCACAGTGACATTCTCTTTCTTTTTTTTTTTTTCCATCATTTTTATCTTTTGTGTATATGTGTATTGCCTGCATGTAGGTAAGTGCACCCATGTCCACAGAGGACAGAAGAGGCTGTTGAATCCCCTGGAACTGGAGTTATGGACAGTTGTTAGCTGCCATGTGGGTGCTGGGAATTGAACCTAGGTCTTCCACAAGAACAATCAGTGTTCTTAACCCCTGAGTCAGCTCTCCAGCGCAGCTACATCCTCTCTTGTGTCCCAAAGTAGCAAATTCTCAAGGGTCCATAAAACTGTAGATTGAGGTCTCAACCAAGGTTTCTAATGAAACAAAGTTTCCTTTAGGAGCAAACACTGAATGATACCTTGTATTATTGTCTATCCTTAATAAGGACTTTGCATCTGACTGATAGTCTCCAAACTTTAATGATTGTCCTGGTTTGTTTCTTCATTGCTGTGACAAAACATTCTGACCACTACCAACTTGGGGAGGAAAGTGTTTATTCAGCTTACAACTCCCAGGTCGCAGTTCATCAGGGAGCCCAAGGTAGGAACTCAGGGCATGAAGCTGGAGGCAGGAGCTCCTGGAGCACAGGCCATGGAGGAACACTGCTTACTGGCTTGCTCCCCCGGCCCCTGCTCAACCTGCTTTCTTATGCAACACAGGCCCA